CTAGTATAGACTCTGCCAGTTCTTGCACCACTTGGTGGTAAAGTGATGTATGACAAGTAGAGGGTTTTGAGGGGCCGCTTGGAAAGCGAGTGAACAATGCGGAAGCGCAGATAGCTCAATGCTGGTCTAAAGAGACTGGCGCGAAGTGTTGACCGAGCGGCTCTGGTGATGCTGCAAAACTCAGAGGGTAAAGGGCGAGACGGTTTTATATACAATCAGACAGGTACTGGTAGACATTGAAATTATAAGTCTTTTCGTTTGCTGCTGAAAAATCAGGACAAGGCGCGTAGGGGTTGGCTAGGAATGTCGAGTTTTAATACATTCCAATATTCCTTACGAGGACGTTGCAAAAAAAAAAAAAAAAAAAAACCTAAGAATTTTTGGCTGTTGTGGTAATTTTTTTCCTTTTTCATCGACAAAATGTATGTTTAAGTAGTTTGGCAATATACTTCATGGACAGTCAGCTCTTAGCTTAACAGGTTGTTTGAGTATACTTTATCAGGACGGGGTAAGAATCAACCCCATCAGCCCCTGGCTTGTTGTGTGGTTTCAACTAGGCAAATTTACGTCCAGTTGTTTGCCATTGCCACTGGACGGTCGCTCCCTGATACCCTGTCGAAACCACACGAAGGCGTATGGCCCGCAGCTACGGATCGAACCCGGTATACCCCCGGCATTACTAAGCGTTCGCATCGACTAGCCAACAGAGGCCGACCAGCTCTTAGGACAAACTGCAAAACAAACCAAGACCGTTGCTGCTGGTACTTTATATCAGCAAACCTGGTAATTACACAGCGCGTTTGCAATACCTAATGCACACTCAACGACTCCTAGATGTATACGGATTCGGTAAACAAGCCAAGAAAAAAAAATAGAATAAACACCACAATTGCTTTCTTTTTTAAAACCCCGCTGCGTAACATCTGTGCAACTTATACGCACTTGTCGCCCCTTGCTATTCATATACAAAGGGTAGCAAGCCATGTCCAAGAGGGGAGTGTCATTTATTACTTAGTTTTTTCAACGGGTAACTCGTTTGTCTGTTTATTGTGTTGTCACTGCCTCACTTGCGGGATTATTTCCACTTTGTGAAACTTCCAGACTGTGGAGAGTTTCAAACTGGGATTTTTTTTTTTGTTAATTTTAAGTTCCTGTCAGTGGATTCTTCTTCGAAATGGAAGCCACAGCCAAGGAAACGTTAAGACCATCCCAGTTAGATTACCCTTCAGTACTTCTTGCGTGAACACAGGATACTACGACAAAACACTACATCACATAAAAATTATATACCGCCGGCGAAACGACGAACGAAGCCGTCTCATCATACCACCCAAGATAGGACAGGTCATGGAACGCGAGGCATAAATAGAGGAGATGAACTTAGTAAGAAGTTCCTATCCTGCATATGCCCACTGTAATGAGATATAATATGGATATGTAAATGGGATACGTTCGGGATGACTGGGCATATTGGGTATAAGTCCCTGATAGCATGATTTCAAGGCAGATTGTGAAAAGACAGCCGTGAGTGAGTCAGTTGAAATGCGAGTCTGGGGATGAGAATGCGGTGGATTCCGGTGACTGGGCCCCAGGACTGGAAGGATGTGAAGCTGAACTGTGAAGGAAATTAGAAGAAGAGTGCCCGGGGTCTGAACCAGAGGCGAATTAAGTAGTGCTGAAACGCACACGACAGGCGCGCTGAATGAATGACTTAGGCCAGACGTTTGTTACACAGTTGTTTGTTGAGCAGTCGTGTACATTGCCAGGTCCATCGTCTGAAGCGTCCGGAGACCAATGCGTGAGCAAGGCGGAGATTGATTCGTGTCTTGTGGTACAGTGACAATAAACACTGTGACATGTGTCAGGCCGTGTCGACCGTCATTTGACGTGTGTGGCCGTGAGAGAAGTGTCGTCTGGTTAGATGAGCTGTGACCTAAACGCTGACAAGAGTCAGTGTTGAACTTGACCAAAGAGATCAAGTGTGAGGAGGACAACAGTTCATTCATTACACCACACGTTTAACAATCACTTTAAACTTTAGCCAGTCTAACATTATTTCCATTAATGCTCGGGTATAATCATCAATCTTAAAATCATTGTCATACCATTTACAGACGGAAGAGTAGGACGAGAATGAGCTCATCCTGAGGGAACACGATGAGACTCCAGGCCATAAACTGATGTATACTGTTTATCCTGTGTTCTTGTTTGTCTGCTGCGTGAATTTCAGACACGAGTCGGTGTGTTTATAAATTAGATCACTATAGTTTATTTTCCATTGTTGTGTTAAATGAGACGCACGAGGATAAGGTTAAAAGAGGGAAGAGCAAGAGAGTGTTGAGGAGGGAGGAGGGGAGGAGGGGGAAGGCGGAAAAAGGCCAAAGTGATGAGAAGAAAGGGGAAGAGAGGAGTGTGAGCAAAATTATGAAGAATATTCCAGATTCTGCCATCTCTGGCGATGAGTGTCCATAATCTCCGAGATTTACTGGATTGCCAGAATAACTAACAAGCATTTGCATGGATGTAGCTAATACAAGCAGAACTTATATTCAACATTGAGAAATAGACAAACACAATTCTTTGAGTCATGTGATGGGATAAAAGGCTAGGAAAAGATCACTGGGAAAATGAGGACAGAAGCAGGACCATAAGAAATTATGGCCGGAATGCTTAAACAGTGGCACTGAGGAATATTATCAGTGGAATTTATCTAGAAAACAACACCGACCGACAGAGATCTGAACGCCTACGTCAGCTGCACGGCATTTGCTATGATGACTGTATATCGATGGTAAATGACGTATGGGGTGTCCGGGACAAAAGGAAACCATTTTGGACCTCACCGGTGCACCTTTGAATATATGATTATTAGACATAAATTTGTATAATTGGGGTTAATCCGTTAGGTGGTAAATTTCCTAATGAATCTGTCAGTTTAGAACAAGATTTTGGCTGGTCTCCCTCAATTAATGTCGCCTTCAAGTGATGCTGAGGTACAACACTTCATGTCTTTGGGAACATGTATATTCCGTATTAGGACTTTGATCTCTTTCACAATGGTGTTTTTTTGGTCCTGCTACTAAAGGAAATGGTTTCGAAATTCCGAACAACTGGCAAGACGAATGGAAAGAGAGCAAGATTTGTCTGATTATGGGGAATATTTCAGTCCCTATATGACACTGAGCCGCGTAATTGCTGACCACATTAACCCACAGAGTGCCGATTGGTCCTGTGTTAGTACAATATGGGTGCTTTTCCCATATGCCCGATGCGCCTGAGGGCGTTGTAAAGGGATCTTTACTTTTCTTTACTTTTTTATATGAAACTTATACTTCTTATCCCCTTAAAGCGAAGGTATCCGATTGATGTCTTCCAGTGTCACTCTGCCAGGTTTCAAAGTATAACATGTGTCCGATCGAACCAACCGTTAAGCTAGTCACTTTAAAGTAGCCGGCTGGTCTAATTGGTTACCGCAGCGGACAATATAGATTTTACTTCGAATACTCACCCAGTACCTGTTGCATAGTCCATCATTTCGTCTTGTCGGTGTCCGTAGAACATCTTGGTTAATTGCGAGGCAGGAGTCTAAGATCGAGGCGCTGGGGGTCATGACACAGCGTGGCCACCCCTCTGCAAATCTTCTTCTTCTTTCTTCCGCGTTCACCAGCCGTATACTCTGGCGGAATGTTCTGGTTGCTCACCGTTTCAACTACTAAACTGCAGTCCCTGCTCCAGAACCTGAGTGTTGCGTGTTGCATCAGTTTTTAACAGATCTCATTTCTCTTGAATACAGACTGTTGGTTTTCCTTGCCTCTCCGGCTGCTATTATACCCGGAAGTCCGATAAGCCGAAACAATTGTTTGACGATGAATTCTTCTGCTGTGGATCGGTGGTCCCTGCTTTACATGTTCAGATGGTGGAGTTCTTTTTTATTAGGCCTAAGTAAAAACGTCGAAAGCTTATCGACGTGGCAGATGTTTGGGAAGACTGGTAACGTGTAGAACGAGTTCATTTATCTTTAAACTGTTCCATGGCTTTGTTAAGGAATATCGTGTTACATCTAAGAAACCTTTCCATGAAGTAATACTACTTAAGGTCGCTCGAGGCCAAAGAAGGCGCGGGTATCGGGGGGGGGGAACGTAACTATCAACAGCAACACTGGAGTGCCAACCACCTCTTTTTTTTTCTTAAAGCGTAAACACTACAGAAGAAGCTAGAGATGTATTGCTCTAGTACGTAATGTCGTCAATATCCCGCTGAGCGCCTTTATTTCCAAAGGACTTTGTCTGGTACCATTTTAGGCTCGTTTGAACCTAGTAGGCATGTCTTGTCTGTCTTGTCTTGTTTTGTCCACAATTTCCTCCACAGCTAAGTGGGCTAGTCGCAGAGTTAGTTGTCTATCCTGGGGCCAGGTGTGTTTGCACTGTGTTGTTGTTTAGCCCGTGTTGCCTCAGGATCTCTATTGTCTATCCATCGTACTCTCGTCTCGGTCTGCCTCTTGCTCGAGGCATTAGTGCTGTTCGTTAGAAAGGGCATTGAAACGATTTAAAACAATTTTTCAAGGATATGGATCCGACCCAATGCAAAATTTAAACCCTGCAATTTTCGGGTCTGACGGCAGTGTTTTTAGTAGCTCACACACGGTCACATTTTATGGATGAACTCAGTAACCAATGAGGTGCCGTCTCAGCACAAAGCTTGGCTACAATGGATCTCCAAACCCTCTTTCTGTTTCCTGGTTGCTGTTCGTTTATCTATTTATGTTGTCCTTCTACTGCATCGTTCTCTACCCCTTGCTTTCTTGCCGTCGACCCATTATCCACCCCCCCCCCCTTTTTCCCCCAGTATGGTTTTTGAAAGTATATTATGTCGTCATGTAAAGCAGACAAAGTAGTAAAATGCTAACTTTTAAAAATTTCTTTCAGTAATTCTCGATGTAACTATGTTGTTAAATGTTTCTTTGTGAAGATTGTCTCATTCAAGTTTGTTTCTTGCAACAGTATGTCATGGAAGATGGTTTGGACCTCGGTGTCAGTACAAATGCCGATGTGTCAATGGTATGTGTTTATTGAATGGAGAGTGCTTAGGTGGGACCCCATGCGAAGGTGGATGGTTCGGTCCCACGTGTCAGTATGGTAGGTGATTTTTTTTTTTAGGCTTGTGTGCTTTCTCTAAACAAAATCAAGATAGTTGACGTCATTGATTCATCTGTCATTTCATGTTTCTAAACATCTCTTCCTTCTTCCGACAGGTGGCTAGAGGTTCTGCGGAGAAAGACAGAACCCTATAGGATAAAACCCGGTGCAACTGAAGTCGATTCTCTCAATACTAACATTCAACTTTTAACAAGGCTGCACCATACTTCGTCCAGCCATTGCCATCCCCTACTGTGTCCTGTCTGCAGCCCCTCACGAGGTTGCTGTGAATTTAGGTTTTAGACTATTACACCCATCTAGGGCTCTCCCGCCTTTAGGTGTATTGGTCATACATGGCTAGACCTATATTGTAAAACACTACTAGCCATAGGTAGGATATGTGATCAACATCACGCCGATCGCCTTGACTTCCCATGTCTTTACATGGTGCTCATATAAGACAGGGTCAACCAGGGAGCAAAGATAAATTTTTTTCAAAGCATCAAACAAAACTAATTAAATATCTGGCTTAATCCAGTAGCTGAACCCACGACCTTAAGATTCGCTGTCTTCACAACGGCGGGTCGCATTACACTCAGTATAGTTATATATACTCTTACACGTGTAATTGTGTGCAGTGATGTAATTTATGCAGGTGCTTACACTTTCAGGTTATTTAATCTGTACAGACTCTGACACAGTAGGCCAGCATAATATACTTTTTATTGTGTTTGCAGTGTTTTTTTTTTATATTACCACACACACAAAACATAACAAGTTTTATCGATAAAATATAACTGATGTGTGAAATGATTTGTGACAAAATAAATCTCGTTGGTTCCCAGTCGGATAAAGTGAAACATTCAATCACTGATAGAAAACAATATTGTAGGGAAACAAAAAAAAATCGGTTGTGCTCTAATTATGGTTAATAGGAGTCGCTGTGGTGTAGCGGCTAAACGTTCGCCTGCGGATCGGAAAGTTCGCTCCCTGGCGGAGCCGGACTTTTTTTTCTTTTCAATTTTCAAAAATGACTTTGGCTCCCAGGTGGACCCAGTCTTGAATGGGTACCGGCTGCATTCCCGGGAAGTGAAGGCAGCGGTCCTGATACTGACCACATCCCCTATCTTATGCCGATTGGTGTATACAATTTTGGTCTAGCCCTATATGCCCTATACGCATATAGACATCGAAAAGGGTCCTTACTTTAATTCTGGTAAATATTTAAAAGCAAAAAAAAAAAAAAATCATAGAAGTGCGTTCTCTGGATCTGCCAATCTCCGACTGACTTTTATCCAAAAGAAATTATTTTGGTTTTCTTTTCTGGAACTCTTCCGTCTCGACATTGTTGACTGTACTGTAGGGAGGTTTGGGTATTACAGATAGAAGAAACCATGGCGAGTGTGAAGAGTAACACCAGATCGCCTTGAAAAGAATCTTAATTAGAGTGAGAGAGGAAGTTCCTCGTCCTCCTTTTGGCACAATGACTGGGCCGTATTGAAAAAACTAGATGACCTTTGCATCATGAACTTAATCTCTCTCTCTCTCTCTCTCTCTCTCTCTCACTCTCTCTCTCTCTCTTCTCTCTCTCTCTCTCTCTCTCTCTCTCTCTCTCTCTCTCTATATATATATATATATATATATATATATATATATATATATATACATATGCATATATATATATATATATATATATATATATATATATATATATATATATATATATATATATATATATATATAGCATATATATATATATATATATATATATATAGATAGATATATATAATATATATATATATATATATATATATATATATATATATATATACATGCTGTCAATCAATAAATCAATCAATCAATCGATCAGTCGACCAAACAATCGATGAGTCAATCAAACAATCGATCAATCAAGCAAGCAAACAATCAGTCAACCAATCTATCAATCAATTAGTCAATCCGTCATTCAATCGGTCATTTAGTAAGTCAACAAACCAGTCAGACACTCAGGGAAACAGTCGGGCCGTCAATCAGTAAATCAGTCACTCAGTAAGTCAGTCAAGCAATAAATCAGCCAATATGTCAGTCAGTTAATAAGTCATTTAGTGAATCAGTCATTCATTCAATTTATTAGTCTGGTATCATCTACCCCATTTATCCATCTCTTTCTTGGTCTTCCTCTCACCTTCCTCCCAGATTTTCTACTAAGTCTCATATGCAGTCTCGTATAGCTGCATTCTCACTAGATGGCTGAACCATTTCATCCTTTGTCTGTCTCTATAATCCTAACGTGATCTTATTCTAGCTTTCTCTCTGATACTAGTATTTGTAATCCTGTCTTGTCTAATGTTAGTAGTGACCTGGCGGAGACAGCGCATTTCACATAATGTTCGGTGATTGGTCTTACAATAATAGGTCTTAATCTATATGCCCAATATGAAATGGTCCTTTACTTTTTACTTCTACTTTACAAGCTATACACACACACACACACACACACACACACACACACACACATACACAAACATCTAGAATGGATCCGTCATAGTTACGATGGTTTGGAAACCTACTACGCAGAATCGCAGATAATCTTCCACAATGGCAATCATTTAATGCCAAGACAAAATGAAACAGACCGCCAGAGCGACCTAGTGTTCTCTTGGATGACACCATCTGGCTGTTTCTAACACACAAATTACTAAAGTGGAACAAAAGACAAATTTAACTGAATATAGAGAAGTCTGGCAATCTTTCTGGCAAACATGTACAGCCCAGGAAGAAGAATATCAAGTTACTGTTTAGTACTTGCTGACATATCTATCCACAGCCGACGTAGCCTACCACACTGCATTTCACCCAGCTGTTGTAGATGGCAATGACCGTACATGTCTGGCTAGCAACGCCACACAGATCACTGTTAAGCTGAACGAATCCCATTCCTTTACCTGGCTAAGGGTCTCAGTGACTGGTCAGGGTATGTCTGTATGTAGGCATCGGACGTAATTGTGTACATGCACATGTGTGTCTATGTATGTATGTAAATATGTATGTATGAATGTATGAATGTCTGTATGTATGTGTATATATACATGAATGTATGTATGTATATTGTTTATACACAAAATAACAGAAATGCACAGTTATATAATGGCGCGTTTTTTTTTTTCTAGACTGTAAATAAAATATCGTACTCGGGTATGTGAAAAGCAATCTCAAATGTTGTTTATCGTGTCCAGTGGACACGTGGGCGTGAATTGGGTGGGCTGTTGTAATCGTTAAATCTCAGTGGTCAAATGTGTTTAAGACCATATTTATGAGCATAGTTGAGAACACTATTTACTGCCTTACGCAGTTAAAACCCTTTGAAAGGATGACACTACCAAAAAAGATCAGTTCATTTTCAAGCTGTCACAAATGGCACCTCTATCGATAAATTTTAGCAATATAGCTATTGGCCGATTGCAGACAGGAAAAATTCAACGTCAGGTTGCGAGACATCTAAACGTGCATTTGAGTACCATCAGTCGACTTTGGTACCGGTTCAAATCCACTGGCTCAGGTGATGACCGACATCAAAGTGAACGACCCAGACAACAGCAGCGGAGAATCGCTTTATTCAGCTTTCTTCACCTCAAAGACAGGTTTACAACAGTTCCCTCAACTGCGCAGGGACTGTCTCCATGACGTCATGTGTCTGATAAAACTATTCGAAATAGACTGCATGACCTTGGACTTTGAGCGACATGTCCTTACGCGTAGCCACCGCCTAAATCGACGTCTTTGGGCCAACCACATTTGCAGCGTCGTGATACACGGTGTAGGGTCTACCGTAGACAAATTGAAGTTTTAGCCCAAAATCGTGTTGATGAAGCTCTGTTGCACTTTGGTTGAGGTTGATTATAATTTCTCGTCCTTCTTAGGATATAATTTTTCGTTATTTGAAGCCCTAATCTGGCTGTTGCCAGGGGCTGCAATATAGGCTGGCCATAAATATGGCGCTTGGTCTGAAAATCCAAAAAGGAAAGACAAAGATAATGAGAATAAATCAGGCAAATAGTAATGTGGTTTTTTTAAATTGCGCCTTACTCCAAGACGTGGAGTAATAAACCTATTTGGGCAGTAATGTAGATAAAGATGGAGGAACTGATAGAGATATTAAAATAAGAATACAAAAGGCAAGAGGGGATTTCATAGCACTAGGGAATTTGTAGAGGTCAAAAAAATTACAGAAATACGAAACTAAAAATTATTAATTAATGCCAAATCAGTACTATTGTATGGGGCGGAAACATGGAGAACAGCCAAGGCAATTGCTAAAAAATTACAGACATTCATTAAATGGTGCCTGCGCAGAATAGAGGGAATTAAATGGTATGATAGAATAACAAATGTAGAACTTTGGGAGACAACTAATCAGGCCCCAGTGGACCAAGAGGTGAGGAAGAGACGCTGGCGTTGGATAGGACACACACTGAGAAAACAGAAGAACAGCATAATTAGAATGTCTTTGCATTGAACCCACAAGGGCATAGGAATAAAGGAAGGCCAAAAAAACACATGGAGAAGAGAGCTGGAAAATGAGGTTAGAAAGATGGGGAGGAGATGGGGAGAGCTCCATGCAATGGCGAAGGATATAACGACTTGGCGTGAGTTGGCTGAGGGCCGATGCTTCTTTGGGGGATAGAAAGGCAGAGGAAAGGAAGGAGGGAATAAATATGGCATCAAGGCTGAACGTGGTTTCTGGGACCTCTCCACGGTGATCGTCAGTCATATGGTGACCAATTGTGTCATCGGGTGTTCTTCGCTTGTGTGATGTCTTGGTGGGGTAGAAAATCAGTCAGTCAGTCGGTGGTTGAGGTGTAATGGTATGGGGAATGATCAGTTACAACGGAAGGAGTCAATTAGTGCACATTGAAGGAAGACTGAATGCGCAACAATACGTCCATGAAATTCTTCGACCACATGTCCTCACATTTTAGGATGCCAACATATATCTTTTCAACAGGACAACGCCAGACCCCATTTTTCACAGCTGACAACGCAGTTCCTGGCTGCCAATAACATTCAAACCCTTCCCCGGTCATTCCTGTCTGCAGACATGAGTCCGATTTAGCACCTGTGGGATGAGCTGCAAAGAAGTGTTTGTCGCCGAAACGTTGCTCCAGCCAAATGGTCGTGATCTGTTTAAGGCACTCCAGAAAGAGTGGGCAGCCATCCCACACGCTCACATCAGACATATTATCACACTATGAACAGGCGATGCCAGTCACTTAAAAACATAAGAGGAGGTCACACACCATACTAGCGGGAAAAGCCTAGGCTTAAAAACTATCGTGACCCAAATGAAAAAAGAAAAGTTTCAAATTGATTGGTGGAACCCTAAGGTATTCTTGTGTGACATTTGAGTTATTCACATACTATATTACAAAATGCAGAATATCAACATTGTGAGTATGTTTGTTCCTTTCAGTAACTATGCATTTTTTGTTTTTGTTTGAACAGAATATTTAGATATGCATGTATGAATGAAATGTATATTTTGAGCTAGCAACTAGTATCACAGCACTCGGAACAATTACGTTAGACTTCTCAGTCATCTTCAGAAGCTAGCGAAAAATTTCACGTTCGATGGTGCCTGCTGTGTATGTATAAATGTGTGTATGTTTGTTCTATATTTTAATATATGCAGAAATGTCCTACTTACTGATGAATTCACTCTGAAATCAAACTTTTTGAAACAATATTATTGTATATTATAGTGTACTTATGCATGGGCCCCTGTTGCTCACTGGTTTAGCGTTCACTCATTTTCGCATATACCATTCATTACTAGGTGGGTAACATGATCTGTCTCACGTCTGCTGTCTTTACCTCTCAGTGCATTGCCTAATAGCCAATAAATATTGGTCTGTATGAATTTTCGGATACATTTTTGTTACGAAAACTCTCTCAGCCCTCTATGGTGTTGAACTCAAAGGCGTCTATATTAAAGTGTCTGCGCGCGCGTGTGTGTGTGAGTGTGTGTGTAAATGTGTGTGTTCATGTGTATGTTTTTCCCTAGAGCAACAATAGTTTAGTTTCCTAAGGCTAAAATGCACAACTGTGGAACAGACGGTTTTATAATAACAACTGGGGGGGGGGGGGAGCATTAACATGAGACAAGAACGGGACAGGTTTAGTGCTGCTAAAATACAAGATCTTTAACCCATGTATTCAAAAGAAGTTATTCAGAGGCGGCACCTCTATAGCGATCTAGTCAACATGTTTACTAACTTTTTCAGTGATAAACATTATCTAACAATACAGATACATTAAAATAGGGGCCAACATCACAGCACTTTAGAAGAGTGGGTGCCAACATAAATTATCGACCACAAACACTACACAACTAGTGAACGATTTAAGACATAAAACACCAGCAACGATTCCTGATGTCATCATGAAAGCTGACTCACTTTCCAACCAAAAATCTCCCTAAAACCTTGGGTCTTCTACTTTATGTCACCATTTCGATCAAGACACATGTTAATTTATTTAGAGTGTGCTGTATTTTTTTTTTAAAAAATGTAAAATTTGAGTTTATTAGCAGTAGAACAGATTAGGTTTCATTATTTGTATTAGGCAAAAATTTCCTAGGATTGTAACAACTTGGAATTATAACGCCTGTTTTGAGATTATGCAAACATTCTGAAGTACCACCGTATATGGATAATGCAGCCGTCATAAGTACCAGTACTAACAGTGCTTTGTCAGAAATGCAGCTGACTGCTGATGCAAGCAGTCGATAACTAAAACCAACACTTTGCACTAAAAACGGCCCAATAAAACCCTTTTCCGAACGCAATCAGCCGCCAAGCAGTTTTAATGCAGTTTGTAATACAAAGCCATCGCTGTCACAATAAAAAAATTAAAAAAAAAAACATTTTACATGAAATTAACAGTTTACAGTGTGGCATCAAAAGCCTAATTATTAGCTACTTGGGGCTCCAGCTCCAGAAATGGAAAATTTACATCAGCAAACCCTGGCTAGAAATTAAAAATTTTTCGAATCGCCAGTGGCCAGGTTGTTGACACTTCTTTTGAAACGGAGATCTGCTCTTAAAGAGTCAACAGAGTTTATATTTGTTCACTATGTTGTCTATGTCCATCTAGGATCAGATGGTCTCAGATATTTGTCGCTGTCCTTTTCGAGTCAGACGTCGACGACAGTTGCTTGTGCCGGCATAAAGAAGCAGTTCGTGGGGAGCACAACCCTGGATGTACACTGTGATCTGTCCAGCTATATAGACAACGTGACCCTGCATGGCACTTCAGCTGGTCATCTCTGCTCTGTCTACATCAGTGGAGGTAACCTTAGTCTCTTAGTATTCTGTAGGGGATGGGAGTTAGGTCTCCTCCAATAAGTAGGATAAAAAGAACTCCATAGGAGAGCACGACCTGGTTCATGATCAAATGCCTCGACCTTCCTTTACTGCACTTTATTGGACTCGACAGCGACAAGACATGGTGACTTTGCAACAGGTGTTGCACGATTTGGTGTTATCGTGTTGCTGCGGTATCAAATTAAATCAGTCAAACACGTTAACGACCAAGCTTACGGTTAGCTCATCGGATAGGTGTTAGAAATTGGCATTTGGGAGATATACTGGCATACATTTATAGGACAATTAGGCTTTAATGAATAGGACGCTCTTTTCCTCTAGAGACAGACCAGTCTACCAATACCCATATCCTACGACGTTCCGTTATTTTTTTTTTTTTTTTGACCGTTTATGCTCGTTTCCTCTCAAGCCCAGCTGCTTTAGCAAATTGTATGTGGAAGTGGAGATTAAACTTCTTGTGCCTACCTCTATAGCGTTTTTTGTTTGTTTGTTTGTTTGTGGAGTTCAGAACAATGTCAGGGTTCAGTCAAGAATTAATGGAGCGTACGCGACCTTGTTGACTTTACCTTTATAAATCTGCCAAGCCTTGAAAAAGAGCATGGGGGTGATGGCAGGATCGGCCCTCGTGTTGGCTCTTATCCTGGCTTGGTCCATAATGTCCGCTTTCAGGACTTTGTTGCGGCGTCAAGCATTTCGTCTCTGGCCTAGGGCTTTTCTGCCCGCGGACAGTAAGTCCTCGAGCATCTTCCTAGCTCCGCAATGTGGACATGTCGTGTCGGTGGTCGCAGACCATTAGGCAATGTTGTCCCCAGAGGGTAATACTTCATAAGCATATCTTATAAGAAAGATCAACCGCAAAAGGCCTATTCGCTAAATCTCACCCCATGAGAGTTTTCGTGACAAGGCGCTCTCGAGGCCGATCAAAAATGTACTACTACTACTACTACTACTACCACATCTGCCCACTTTCTCAAGATTTCACTCTTTGAACTCAGCTACCAGCAGGTACTCCTATCAACTTCTCAGTTTCCATATGCTGCACACTGACACACAGGACTTTCACCAAAGTTTGTGTCGCCTGAAGGCATGACAAAGAGTCCTTAACTTTTCTTCTTGTGTGGTTTATTTTTCTTCTCTTCAGTTTCTCGCGTAAGGGTTATGATAAATGAAACTTTGCCATGACACTCTTGATTCCGGTCTTGTTTTGTTTAAAACATATTTTAAGTTAAATAGCAAGAACATCGACTCCTGCTAGTAGAAATAGACTATAATTATTGTACAATAAGTACATTGTGTCATGTCTTTAAGTAACTAGTTTCGTTTAAAAGCCGTTTTTTTTCCCCCAATCCCCTGCCCCAAGGCCGTCTTAAAGTATGGACCTGCAGGGCATTTGACTGCGGGTCTCATCATAGAGCCTTTATGATAGTCGAGTGTATGCGTTTAAAGTTATCCAAAATTGTCATTCCAGTAATGTAAACGGATGTTTTAGTGACCCCAGGACACTGGTTTACACAGGGGCCCTTGTTAAGACGGCTCAGTCTTGCCCGCAGCAACGGTACGCATCACCTTTTTCCCCTATAGCGCTGGTGTAATATACACTGACAAGTACAGGCGCCTTTTTGTCCTTCCTCCTAAAATTAAAAGCACTCTAAACAAGTATATGGAAGCCGCAGAGGTCCAACGGTTAGACGCTAGCCAGACAGGGGCCAGACTTATTTCAAAAATGACTTTGGCTGCCAGGTCGAACCAACCTTGTGAGTAACAGATACACTCCTGGGAAGTAAAGGCAACCACATTACACACCAAATGTCGTTTTATATAGCCATAAATACCAATTACTCATAGAGGCACAGAAAAGGGTGCAATACTTTTTACTATACATGTATTTGTTCATAATGTTTGAAGATATTGTATATGTGCGACCTGATAGAATAAGTGCATATGGTAGCCTACTCTGTATTGGTATCTTTACCTAATAAGTAAATAATGTAAATGTTAATGTACTGAATTCGATGCCAGGTCGAAATGTAGCTCTAAGGGAGAACGCAACACAAGATACTACATTCAGTGAAGTGATCGGAGGCGTTAATCTCACGTTTACGGCAGACAAAGCAGTTGATGGCAATACGGAGCAACATTTTTATAACGGCTTGAGTTGCACACTTACTGACAGCAACCTGACAATAAGGAGCCATCTCCCCACGTGGAGTGTGACTTTGTCGAAGCCGCGTAATGTCATTAAATATGTCATTTATAATCGAAAAGATGGTGAGTATACACACGCGTGTAAAGCTGTCAATGGTTTATGTTCCTTTGCCTCTGTTTTAAAATAATTATTCGAGTTCATAATGTTATCAAACAACATATGATTTTGTTGAACTGCCAATGTTTAGTCTCTAAATCCTATTATCGTCATCATAATCGCCATCTTTCATCAACATCATCATCTTTAATTTCGAGCTTAGACCTTAATAGGGAAGACAGTTTGAGGTCAAGTGCTCTGTGAGTCCAACTGATAGTAAAAACAGAACACGACCAGAACACGGGCATATTTAAAAGCATTTTATTTATCAAAACATATCAAATGCATTTATTCACTTTATTTTCCACTGGCAGCAATGCATAACCATCTTGTGAGATTCAAACTGGAAGGCTTTTTGACTCCCAGCCAGTCATTGTTTTCGTTAAGGGACAGTAACACACAACCAAAGGACAAATACACAATCCTACAGAGCCCTTTCAGTATCCAGAAGGTGGCAGTGTCGGCGAACAACTCCGAGTGTCTTCTGTCCCTGTGTGAAGTTGAAATATACGGAGGTAATGAGGCTAGTGATATTTTAGTGAGTTTGTTTAGAGTTATTGTTTAGCCGCTGTTGAAGCGAAGAAAGAAAACAAGAATGAAAGAATGAAAGAAAGAAAGAAGAAAGAAAGAGAGAATGACGAAAGAGAGAAAGAAAAACGACAGATTTAATGAAGAAGAAGAAGAAGAAGAAGAAGAAGAAGAAGAAGAAGAAGAAGAAGAAGAAGAAGAAGAAGAAGAAGAAGAAGAAGAAGAAGAAGAAGAAGAAGAAGAAGAAGAAGAAGAAGAAGAAGAAGAAGAAGAAGAAAGAAGGAAAAGAAAAAAAAAAAAGAAGAAGAATGCCAGCTTGGCGCATTACAGCGTTTGTAACTAATTTTCCTTTATTGTCGATAATGTTTATATTATGCAAACTATTAGACTTATACGTTTTTTTTAGAATATAATAATTACAATACTTTTTTTTCCCAATGATCTGTATTGTAAGTATAATTAAAGAATGCTAGCGTTTGTAATTAATTAATTAAAATAATTAATTAGAAGTTGTGACCTTTTTGTTTTTGTTACATAATTATTATCTAAGAGTTAAGTTGAGCTGGGTCAAGATTTGACATCACAGCACGCAGGGCATTCCCATGCATGCTCCGTCCTCATCTTAAGCAGCCAGTGCAGAGTTCCAAAACTGATTGTACCGATTACACTGTGGTTAAATATCGGTCTTGCCTTTCCTCTGAGTTTAATGAGCCGACCAGACACTCTGGTTGCATCCAGATGCCTCATTCTCTCTAGGCTATAATAATCTTCTAACTCTACTGATTCCGTTACTCGTTCCCAAAGGGCCTAGACCACATCTGGATAAAAGATCCATAGTATGCTTACTACCCGTGACATTTTCAGTGAAGCTCTGCTCGAAGCATCCTTGTCTTCACCCAGTCCTTACCGGGGATTGGAGCCGGAACATCTAAAACTAGAGGCGGACACTATGCTTCGAGACCACGCAGCCCCTCTATTCAAGATCACTGGGCTGGAGACAAGAGATGTTTCAATCTGACCCTACAGTGAGCAACGTTCTGTAAAGAACTACCAACTGATGATGATTCTCTGGTTTCCTCCTTCTACTGACATCTGCTTACTTTATGTCAACGTGACTTGTCGCATAACCAACCTTGCGTTCTATACATAGACGCTTTACCATGAAAACAGATTCCGTCTGCGATGCTCACCACTACGGACGTGAGTGTGAGTTTGAATGCTACTGTCCTAACGATCAAGCCTGTTTTGTGGCCACTGGCGGGTGTCCGGTCCTCTGTCCTGCTGGCTTCCACGGTGCTAATTGTTCAAGCGGTAAGTCGTTCCAATCATCGCTGCATATTTTGTTACAAATAAAATGGATATGTCGTCACTCTGAATTGGATTACAGGTACAACGATCAGCTCCTGTGATAGCTGTCATTATATAAGCAGCAGAGTAGCCAGTTTTCTCACAATTAGGGAGACCAGTATAGGTCTCAGTGCTCGGTTTCTTCTTATTCTGCCTTTCTAACCCCCAGTGAAGCATAGGCCCTCACGCCAATTAGCTCTAAACTTTGCTGTCGCATGCAGCTATCCCGCATGTCCTCCGCATCGCTATCTAGCTCCCTCTCTTCTCCATGTGTGTGTGTGTGTGTGTCCAGTGCAAAGACATTCTAGCTATATTTTTCTAATGTTTTATCAGCGTCTGTCTTATCCAAATCCAATGCCAGCAGCTTTTTTTCACCAGATAGTCGAGTGAGACTTTTTTTAAAAACTTTTCTCCGAAAGCTCAACATTAGTGATTATATTATAATTATAGTTATTCTGCACAAGCACCAGTTGATCAATGTGTGTAGCTTATTGATAAATCTACTTATAGGGATAATCATGATTATGATAATTAATTATTACAGGATAGAACAATGAATTCTTGCAAGTTACACACAACCAGATTAAACGTGTAGCCTGTTATCTTCAACACCCAACAAACACAACAACAATGTCACTGGAAGAACAAGACGACGACGACGAAGAAGAAGAAGAAGAAGAAGAAGAAGAAGAAGAAGAAGAAGAAGAAGAAGACGAAGAAGAAGAAGAAGAAGAAGAAGAAGAAGAAGAAGAAAAAGAAGAAAAAGAAAAAGAAGAAGAAGAGAAAGA